TAACAGAGGAAAGGAAAAAGCCATATGATCCTGTCACTAGTTGGAGAAAAAGTATTAGACTAAATTCTACAGCTATTCATGGTAAAAGCTATCAGGAGACTAGAAGTAGAACAGAACCTTCTCAACAGATTAAAGGCATGTACTCCATACTTCCAGTGAGAACGCCTTATATGAATGGAGAAGATACAATGCTTTCTCCTTAAGGTGGGGAACAAGGGCAGTTATGGTTACTCTTCATCTGTCCATTAAACTTTGAAACCTAGGCCCCACCAAAATAGTCTGGGAATAAAATGACACAATTAGGATAGGATTGGCAAGGTAGAAGAAAAATTAATGATGCACTCTTAAATGAATAATTTAAAATACAGATGTTATAGTCATGCAAGAATAAGTATTTATTGAGTTACTCCTATGTCCTGTGTACTTTCATAGATACCTTTGGATACTTCATGGAACAAAAAAAGATTCTTTTTTTGTTTGTTTGTTTTTTTGAGACAGGGTCTCACCGTGTAGTTCAGGCTGGCCCTGAACTCACCATGTAGCCCAGGCTGGTCTCAAACTTGTGGTGATCCTTCTGTCTCAGCCTTCTGGAGTGCTGGGATTACAGGCCTGGCTAAAAAAAAGATTCTTGCCCTTAGGAAGTTTACAGTCTAGCAGCAGGAGACAGAAAATAAACATAGGCTAATGAAGTGAGTAATATAGAATTTTAGAAGGTGATCAGTACTTTCAAAAAAAAGAAAAGAGTAAATCAGCGTACAGAGAATCAGGAGTGTGAGGGCTTCTGGGTGAGTTTTGGCTTTAAATAAGTTCATCAGGATAAACCTCCCCAAGAAGGTGGTGTTTGAGCACAGAGATTAAGAGGGATAGGGAGCTGACTGGGGAGTATTTGTGGGGAAAGGTTCTGGACAAAGCCAGTGCAAGGTCTTAATGTGGGACTATATTCTGAATATTGGAGGAACAACAGGCACTAGTTGTAACTAGTGAGGAGGAGAGCAGTAGGAGATAAGCTGCCAGAGGTGAGGAAGAGTTATGTCATTTAGGGCCTTGTTGGCTCTGTCAAGGGTTCACTTTTACAAAGTATTAAAGGGACACCACTGAAAGCCTTAGATTAGTGGAATGACATGATCTGATCTAAGTTTTAATAAGATTTCTAATAGTTGTGTTAAGGACAGACTATGCTATTATTTTTATTTTTTGTGGCACTAAGAATGGAACCCAGGGCCTCACATACACAAGGCAAGAACCTACATCTGAGCTACACCTTCAGCCCTGATAGTATTATTTTTAACATTGAAAAATTAGAGACATCATGATTGGCTAAAAGGTAGAATAAAGACATGTGTTATGATGTATATGATTAAATGTCAATCAGCCATAGTCATAATACTGAGTAAAAAATAATGTAAGATTATGTTTGTAACATAGGACAAAGTGGACAGTATAATAACAATTTGATCATGGGATTATGGGCATTCTTCTCACTTGATTTTCAATTATGTAGTCATGCTACTTTTCTTTTTCCTTTTTTTTTTGGTACCAGGGATCGAACTCGGGTCCTTGTGCCTGAGCAGCAGGTGGCAAAACCACTGAGCTAAATCACCGGCCCCATGCCACTTTTCTAATAAGAATATATATAATAATCTGAGTCAAGATTAATGTGGGTAAGGGGCTGACCAATAAAAGTAAAGGCCAAAAGTTTAGGTTCAATGAGTCAAGGCTGGAAGATATTGTAGACTTAGAAAGGCAAGCAGAGATGGTGGGTAGGAGACCAGAGTAGGAAGGTGTCATAGAGGATTTGAAGGGTAGCATTTGTATGCTACTAATTAGTAGTATGTGCTTGGACTTTTTTACTTCAAATCTCAAGCTATCTATTTGTGAAGTAGAGGTCATGGCAATGTCTAGGAGGAATGTGAGGCATGTCTATGCCTGGTAGTTTTTCTTGTTTTTTTCACTCTTTGTTCTTTCTAATATTATCTCTCCTATAACTTCCCATTAGAAGTTCCCATAGCTTCTCTTTCTTTTTTTTTTTTGGTACCAGGGATTGAACTTGGGACCTTATGCTTTTGAGGCAGGCAGCGGAACCACTGAGCTAAATCCCCTTGTAGCCTCTCTTTCTAATACCCCACTAAATCTTTGAAGTCCTCAGAAAGACTTCATAATAAACCATTGTTGGAGTAAGAAAGAAGGATTCCTACCATGGATTCCTAGCTGTGAGGGGGTTTTAATGAAAGGTCTGGGAAAAATAGATGCCTTAAATTTTTTTCCACCATTGAGTACTTTTTAAAGAGCTATATGTACTTCTAAAAGAAGGGCTTGTTTTATTGGAGGAAGTGAACTCCTCAATCTTTTCAACAGGACACCCAGTTATCAGTATTGGTGGGTTCAACTTCCAGGAATTTTGAATTAGTTTGGGGTGAGCTTTGGACATCAAAATTTATAAAATTTCCCTAGGTGGTTCTACTGTGTAGCCATGTTGAGAACCACTGCTTTAGGTTAATACATATAGATCCAACTCATTCTTCTCAATGGCTACATAATATCCACATTGTGGGTATATTAAAATTTATTTATTCCTCTATTTATAAGGCTTCATCTTGTTTCCATTACCTTGTTTTACTAAAAATGCTTCAATAAACCTGCATTCTTAGTTACAGGTTCCTTTATTTCTATGGAATACAGTCCTGAAGTGGGATTCCTTGATTTAGAGTTATGAAATTAAAATTTTTTGGTGGTGCCAGATTATTTTCCCGAAAGTCTGAATGCCTACTTCCAATAACAGAGTGTAAGAGAGCTCAGTTCAGCTAGGCATGATGGTGCCTTTGGGAGGCTGAGGTAGGAGGATGAGGCCAGTCTGTGCTACACAGTGAGATTCTCTCTCTCAAAACGAAAAACAAACAAAAAGTACTCAGTTCTTTATACTTTTGTGAATGTGATGAAAGACAAAATGTATTTGATTCTCTTTTTCATCTACTACTAAAGTTGAATTTCTTTTTACTTATTTCCCATTTACATTTTTCTTCGTATGATTTGGCTGTTTATGTTCTTGGCCATTCTCAATTGGCTCATTTGTCTTTTTCTCTCACATTTTAAGAGACTTTTGAATACAGGAATATCCTCCTTTTTTGGTCATACATGTCATGATAACTTTCTTCTAGCCAGCTATTTGTATTTTTTTTTTTTTTTTTTTGGTACCGGGGATTGAACTCAGGTCCTTGTGCTTGGGAGGCAGGCTGAGGAACCACTGAGCTAAATCCGCAGCCCCTGTCTTTTGATAACATATGTAACACTACACATATTTCAAATTTTTGAGAATATATTATCAAATCTTATTAATGAACTATATTTCAATATTTTTCATTGGTAATTTTTTGTCACTATCATTCCTAATGGCTGCAAAAAATTGTAGTCAAGTCTTCTACATTCATTCAAGCTTCCAGATACAAACAAACAAAAAAAATCAAACAAAGCTTGTGACTATAAGGTTGTTAAAAATAATACTATAATTAATATTTCCTTTTTTAAGGTTTTTTTCATAGTTTGGATGATTTAGTGGACTCTACAAATGAAATCCTTGGATCAAAATGCTATGTTTTTGTGATTTTGATGACATTTCCCAAACTGTTATAGTTTTTGTTTAACCAGTCTAAAAAATTAGGGGCAATATAACTTTAGTATTTGTACAGTAATATCTCCTGCAGAACAAATCATATTACAGAATTAAAACAATTAAGTTTCTTAAGTAATTAATTTTCTCCTTTGTGAAGGAAAGTTTACATTTTTTTTTTAGGCTAAGAAGGTAGTTTTGGTTCCAATAGAATTATTTTTTGCATATCTAATCTGTGTAGACCACCTGGTAAGTGTCATAAGGGATCAGTAATGTGTGGCCATTACTTTTTAAGAAAATTTTAATTTAACAGGGGAACAAAAATAAATCTCTCATTTTACTTTATTTTATAGTTAAGTACCACAAAAGAAAAATGAAAGGGAAGAGGTAAGTTTTTTGTTTTTGTTTTTTGAGATAAGACAGGGTCTTGCTGTATTGTTTAGGCTGGCCTTAAACTTACTATGTGTCCCAGGCTGGCCTTGAACTTGAAGCAATCCTTTTGCCTCAGCCTCCCAAGTGCTAGGATTATAGACATGCATCACCACACTTGGCGAAGAGGTAAGGTTTTTATTTTGGTATTGGGGATCGAACTTGGGACCTTTTGCTTATGAGGCAGGTGCTGGAACCACTGAGCTAAATCCCTGGCCAGAGGTAAGTTTTAATAGCACCAGCAAAGTTTTCTTAAAGGCAGTGCTCTTTGAGATAGTCAAAGGTAAAGTGAAGGGTGAATAGTATTTGAATTGCCAGTGACGAAGTGAGGAGAATACAGTTGTTTAAAAGATGAGTTTTCCAAAATGAAGGAAAATAGCAAATAAAGATACTTATTTATTATTTTGCAAAATAGGTAGGTGGAGGTAGCATTCCTGGAGTACAGTGAATTAAGTGGTTAGAGAACACAAAGAAAATAAAAGGACTCCACATGGAGAAAAATGAGAGTGCACCAGACTACTGTAGGTTTTGAATGTGCATTTAAGTTGATAGCAAGAGATTTAGTGGGGAGATTTAGTCTGATACTGAGAGAATGAGTTGGAACTTTTTGGAATATTAATTTGATGCTATCAGTGGATCAGTCTAAAATGGAAAGAGCCAGTTAACAAATGGGTAAATGTTTTGGGCAGTCCATTCATTCTTGACAAGGCTCACTGATCTCATCTGCAAGACTGGAACAATGATGCCTCTGCCATTGTGTGATTGTGATGAAGTAGGACGGTGTACATGAGGTGCTTGGCTGGGCTCTTGATATGTTGTGGGTATATTGTAACAATTACTGTTTAGTTAGTCTTATATTCTATTTTTTAGATAGGAATACAAAGTCACTTCAGTTAATTTCATTCTTATACCATTACAGCTAAATTAACTTTTATTTCCCCCCAAGGTTGTTTGGAAAGCACATTAGATGGACACTCTAAACCAAACAACAGTGACTGAATTTGTCTTCCTGGGACTCACTGATAACTGGGTGCTAGAGAAACTGTTTTTCATGTCATTCTCAATCACTTACCTGCTAACACTTTTGGGGAACATCCTCATCATTGTTACCATATTGCTTACTCCGCGTCTCCACACTCCCATGTACTTCTTCCTGAGCAATCTGTCTTTCATTGACATTTGCCACTCATCGGTCACTGTGCCCAAGATGCTGGAAGGTTTGCTTTTAGAGAGAAAGACCATATCCTTTAACAACTGCATTGCACAGCTGTTCTTCCTTCATCTTTTTGCCTGTGCTGAGATCTTTCTGCTGACCATTATGGCATATGATCGTTATGTAGCCATCTGCACTCCGTTACACTACCCCAGTGTGATGACCGTGAGAGTCTGTGTACAGCTGGTGTTTGCTCTCTGGCTCGGGGGCACTGTTCACTCACTAGTGCAGACCTTCTTGACCATTCGTTTACCCTACTGTGGCCCTAACATTATTGACAGCTACTTCTGTGATGTGCCTCCTGTCATCAAGCTGGCCTGCACTGATACATACCTCACAGGGATGCTGATTGTGTCCAATAGTGGAACCATCTCCCTTACCTGTTTCTCGGCCTTGGTTGCTTCCTACGCTGTCATCCTGGTTTCTCTCCGTAAACAGTCAGCTGAAGGGCGCAGGAAAGCTCTGTCTACTTGCTCAGCCCACTTAATTTTGGTTGCCCTCTTCTTTGGGCCATGCATCTTCATCTATACACGGCCAGACACCAGCTTCTCTATTGACAAGATGGTGTCTGTCTTCTACACAGTGGTCACCCCTTTGCTGAATCCTCTCATTTATACCTTGAGGAATGAGGAGGTAAAAAGTGCTATGAAGCAGCTCAGGCAGAGACAAGTTTTTTTCATAAAATCATATACATGATGGGCACTGGAAAGATGGATATTATTGTGGCCATGTCCTCCATGAGAAAGCAAAGCTAAAGAGTCAAACTTATTAGGTGAAATAGCAAGGGCCAGGGGAGACTTCTGCATTGGAGAGAAACTTATTAACTATTATTTAAGTAAAGGAAAAGATCATAGTGGAACATGTAAAGCAAAAAGGCCCACCAATGTTTAAAGAAGGCTTCTGGTTCTCCTAATAAAGGAATACAATTTGGGGAACTTAGTTCAGTTTCAGATTTGTGACCAGGTGTGGTTGTGAGGATCTGGTCTCTTGATTTATACTGTTCTGTGGATCATTGCCTTTGGGAAGCTATACATCAGACCTGTTTTATATGTTGGACTGATTACAGTCTTGCTTTTCAACATATTCTCAATAAAATAACTTTATACTGAATTATACTTTGTTGGTTTTGAATAGGATTCTTCTATTATGTCCAGATCTATTTTGCACTTTTTTTTTTGGTACCAGGGACCGAACTCAGGACCTTGTGCTTGTGAGGTAGGCAGTAGAACCACTGAGCTAAATCCCCGGCCCCACTGCACTTTTTTTTGGTATTAAATTCTTCTATTGCTACATTGTAGGTATACAACACAATTACATTTCTCATTGGGAACTGTACCTTTACATAATGCATCTTGGTTCTTATTTTTTCCCCATTCCTAGCCCTCCCTTCACGCCCTCCACCCTTCCCTAT